AATTGCATTATTAAATATATTGAAAAAAAGAAAATATCTTACTGACCCCAGACTTTTCAACAGTACTAATTAAATGGATAAATAATTATTGATTTACATTGATAATTAAACTTAATTGTATACTTGCTATAATTGCAACTGGATAAAGTGTGCTTTTTAGTTTTGTTAAAGGGACATTGTGTATGAATTTCTCCGATCTAGTGGTGAAATTGTATTTTGCATTCGAACGAATTGTGCTCTCCAGCGCCTTGCTTTTTCAAATGTGCATTGTATCTACGGTAGCCGTTATGTACCAAAAAGCTATGACAGGATGTCTTCTAATAGCATTTCGTCAAGTGCTCCTTCAGGTGAACAGGTTCAAACAAACAACGAATAAACGAATGGTACATTATGAATTACTGACTGTGAAACTTGCCGGGGTGGTGACAAGCACCTCTCACTGCGCTTCTGCTGCTTTTAGTTATAATAATAATAAAATAATAATCATTATCAAGATGGTGGACCTACTTGGAAGCCTTGGTGGACCTATACCCATCCCATGTATATAAAGATAATAAATTCTTCGTTTGCGAGGATAAGTCAGATTATTGGCAGAGGTATTTGTACACCATTGAGGACACAATTATGAATAAAAATATTGATTTTATATAATGAAATACCTAAAAAAGAACACATTGTCCATTTAATAAAAAAAAAAAATAAGAACGTATAATCATTTTAATTTCCAAACAAAAGGTGGAGTTTGAAAAAAAAAAAAAAACATGCAAAAGCAACAAAAAGCCAAATTAAAATTAGGTTGGTTTAATTGGTGGTGTTAAAGTGTTTTCTGAACCTGAGTGTGCACCAGTGAATATAGGTAGCTGTTTTGAACGCAAGGTGATTGGAGGTGAGGACGATTAATTAGTGTCTTTACACAGTCTTTGTCACTTTTTTTCCTCGCATCTCCTGTAAAACATCTAGCCAGACTGGTGCAAAGATTTGAAGGTAAATGAAAGTGGGAAACAGCTGCTGTGAATACTCGTTGGGTATTTGACAAAAACATGCATGTTCAGACCCAAAAAGTGCAGGAATAGGAACTGAAATCGAGTTAGGACCAAGTGTGAAAACCGTGTTCAGCAATCCAGTTTAACCAGGTGCTACATGCTAAGTTCTGTATGCAAGCGTGGTGCAACCGTTTAGTGCATTTGGGGGGTGTAAATTGTTTTGGAGGGATTACTAACAGCGAGGATATGGAATCAGATTATGTGGAATGAGCACGGAGAGAGAGAGACAGGTTCGGAGGGGGCAGCGGTATAATGCGCGTCTCTGTCTGTAATCCTCATCATTTGTTCTTCTGTTACTAGAGTCCCCGTCTACTCTTCCCTCTGACAGCCTGAGTGTGTGTGCTGGTTGATCTCACTATAAACGCTGCTATTGTTCCACTAACAGACTGACAAAAATCACGAGGGCCTGAAGGTTGCAGCCGAGAACGAGAAACAACGAGGTTCATTCATAAGTGGCCGTAGCAGCGCGTGTCCTACAATCTGACCAGGCTTGTCCGCCACAAAAATGCACCGGAGCAACGAAGTTATGATTTCTCTCTGTGGTTTGAGGATTGCACCTCGTCCTAAACAGTCTAAATGCGTCGGAATGTTGCGCGTGTCAGTAATATGGTTTTGTCGCAGCCTTCGCTTGCAGTGTAATTGTGGTCGCCAAGTCGCTTTACTTGATCTAACTGTATCATGCAAAGGATCATGTTATCTCCACTGCACATTTGAAAAATGGTAGCTTTGCGAAATGAAAATTTTGTCGCATCGCCAAAAGTTTTTGTCACTCATGTTGCATGAAAAAAACAACCTTGAGTTGCTTTTATACTACAAATTACTATTAGAAAATGCATTTACACGTACAACAAAACTGATAAAAACTGACTCATTGTGAAAAATCCTGGAAAGCCATGTCAACGCGCAAATTTGTTTAACGGTTTTGAAATCAGAGCAGACTCGCGCACAAGAAAGAAGAATATACATTCAACTCTTTAAATGCAGAGCAAAATAATGCAAAAAAAAATATTTATATGCATACCAAATGTGTTTCTTAACTTCCATTGACTGAATTTTCCATCATTTATGACAACACTTCCCCACCATTGACAGAACTTTCCGGCAATCCATGTTTTCCCTGTTATACGGTAGATGGCGCTATTAACAAGCGGCAACATTCTAATCTGAAAAATGAAGCCTACCCGGAAGTGCGAAAAACTGCAATACATCTAAAATCCGCTAGAGGGAGGTCCCAAAAGGGAGCAAATATCCATAGACAGCATGTTAAAATGTCCGTTTTCTTTTTCCGTTTTTTTGGTCCCATGCATGGACTTTTATTGTATTTTTCGATAGGTTCCGAGTGCCTGACAACTGTGAGGGGGTGAATTTTTTTTCTAACTCGTTAGTTTAGGTCGTATTTAGATATAAAATGTATGACAAATAAGGACGGTTAACTTTGATTGACAGCTGATAAACGGCTGCGCCGAGTGGAATTTGACGTCTCGGCCATGATCTGACCCAACACATCATACCACCGCTGTCCATCCTTTCTGAACATTTGTATTTTGTATTTGCCAAGATTTTTCAATATGGCGCCGCCCTTCCCCCCTATAAACAGCCTCAAAACGTCAACTCAAAGTCTATGGGTGACGTCACAGATGCTTTGTCCATATTTTTTACATTTTATGGCTACTACAAAACATTCAACAGCATATTAAAATTGCCTAAAGCTACTGAATAAAAAAGGACTGGGCAATATAAGCTTTTGGGGTGTTGATGGACTTGATTGCCCCGTTTACACGAAGGGAAGACGCAGATATTTGCTCGAAAACCCCATTTTTTTATCACAGAAAACGATTATTTCTAAATATATAAATGTGTTGCCGTGTCAACTGTGAGAAACGAGGTTTTAGGTTCTCAAATGTCACATTCTGAGGATTCATTGCATGGCTTTATCCTTCTACCTACGCCCATAGATTTGGCTTAGTTACATGTGCTTGATGGCGTATTTATGAGCGTTGATGTAAAGGATAACTTTTTTGAAAACGATGTTGTGTGCACTATGTTATTACTGAAAATGGAAGGGGGGGGGGGATATTTGTTAAATACCCGGCTATGTGGACATGGTCTATGTTTTGATTAACGTTCTGAATCCAATCTGGATGGTTTTTTTCGGGGTGGGGGGTTTGTTGTGGTTAACAATTAGAGCCTCTGCTCTGTCTATTGATATATTTTCTGTTCATCGCTGACGGTTGTTGTCACTTAATCACTAACCTAATCATGCTAAATACTAATATTAATTTGAACAATCTGATTAAGTTGATTTGATTTACTAGACAAAAAGTGTCAGATATTACAGGTTTTCAGATTACGTAGCACAATCATATTCTTCTAGCCTGGATGCCAGCCCGAACTCCGCCCACAACATTTTTTGGTCTGGACTCGATCTATTCGGTTGTCGTGACGTAATCACGCTCTGATAATACGGTTTCCGGGTCCAAATGCTGGGTCCTCTCTATCTGCTTACCGCTTTTGCCGTGTCCCATGTTGTTTAAATAGATCGGAGTTAAAAAAAACAAGTGACATTCAACTGTCATTCTACCGCTTTCCCTGTGACGAGAAAGAAAAGAGAAAATGGCTGCAGTTGATAAGGATGAGCTACACTAATCACCCTATTGGAGTTAAAAGAGTTTAAACCTTTTTTGACTGCCAAGGGTGCATCACTAAAGTAGGACGTGATTGTAAATAAATTAACAGGTTCCGCCATTGTAACGTTAATTAGATATGGACGAGCGGAGCGCTTGGACCCGGAAGAGGCTAAACGTCACGTGTGACGTTAGACTTAACAACCGAATTGAGGAGTAATTATGATCAGGCAAAAAATGATCGGGCCAATCAGATTTCCAGGGCGGGCTTTATACGATGATGGACAGATGATCTGCAGGGACGTAATCATCACGTTATCAAAGAGCGCTTAACTGGTTTCCCTCAGAGATGACTGCATCTCTATCAGCTGGAGAATTGAGATGTATAGATTCCACTGTCGCGTCTGTTTTTAAAATAAATCGACAAAACTGCAATCAAGGCATTTGTCGATCGGAAAGATATTCGGCAGAAGTGTAACTTATCAGCTGGCTCTGACTGTCGCTAAGTGAAGAAGATGGGACGTAATGAAAAGCATGTGGTCGTTGTGGTTCCTCCTTTGGTCGCACTCATGAAGGACCAAGTGAAAGAAGCAACACTCGTTATTTTACTTCTAAAATAAGTAAGTTCTGTTGTTGACAACTACGCTATGCAAAGTATTTGACTTACTGCGTTGCTCTGATTGGTTGTAGGTCTGTCCGACTATCCAATTGAGTGCAGAGGGGTTTTTTTTTTTCCTGGTTCGGTTAAGACACGCCTCATAATCAAAGCCATACGGAGCGGTCTCAGACTCATATTCTGACCAGAATATGAGTATGACGAAGTCAGGCTAATATTCTTCACCACCATCAGAAGTTGCCATCTCATCTCTGCTCATTTGCATAAAGTTCAGTTTTACTCAGCTTTAACGGTAACGCTTGTAACGGTTTCTGTCATTGAAGACAAAAATGACTTTCAAGTGCTTTGTCACTGCAACTATTGCCATTTTGTACGGTTTGTCGTAACCAATGGCAATAAATGACGAGCAACGGGACATTTATTTGATCATTTGTTTTTTTATTTATGCTGCATAACACTATGTAGTCCCACCCATGGTGAAATCTGATTGGTTCAGAATCCTGATCCTCATATACCTGTAGAATAAACATCAAATTTATATTCTAATTGCCTGTGATTGTGTCACACCACATAGCATTTTCACTTTGTGGACGTCGCTGGAAGCTAGTTAAGATGTGCAAGAGGCAGCATGGTTGGCAACGCGTTAAACGCCCCGTTTCCTCTCTGACTGTAGATGCACAGTGAACGCAATATTACAGGCGCGAGGCAGGAAATTACCAGGAGCCGCGGCCTGTCTGCTGGTTCTCAGAGAGGGTGGGCGGAACGACAGGGAGGGAGACTGAGAGAGAGACAGGAAAGTGTGACCTTTCTTCCAAATGTCAGCAGTGTGAGCAACGATTAATGGCTGTTTATGTGCTGGGGACACATGCCAGGATTTTGTGTGTGTGCGTGCAAGTCTTAGCCGAGCTCAAAAGTGAGGACTTATTTGATGCCTTGATTACTGAAAATGGCTTATCTGTGTGAGTGTGTGATAGAAAGAGAGAATTTATGTGTGTGTGTATGTGTGTGTGTGATAAACAGGCTAGATTGTGCCTGCTGGCGATGTATCAGCCCACACACACACACACTTTCAGAGCACTACGGCAACAGACTTACAAAGATCTCTGTCTCGATGTTTTCTCTGCCTCTCTGACATACATCACTATTTCCTCTCTGCAGTTCTCTGTAAATGAGTGTGTGACTCATTTCAGGTTTACACTGGCTCGGCATCTTAAAGAACAGATGTGTATGCGTGTTCACGTGAACAGAATGACTCTTTTCTTAAATATTTGGCCTTCATCATCTTTAGGTTGGAGAATTGATGGGAATTACCAATGGCATTACAGATAATTAGAGATCCTTTTTTTCCCTGACACACACACACATATATAAATATATAAATATATATGTTATATTATATATTTTTTTGTTTAAGAGCTCATACATCAAATCTGGTCTGATGGTCACATACGATTTAGTCGCAGTAGTTCAAATATTTCAAACCATCTGTTTTGTATTGTTGAATTGTATTAGTATTATTAAAATAAATAATTAAAATAATTTTTGATCTCAAAAAAACTTTTTTTTTAAAAATAACCATTGTATACAACCAGTGCACACTTGGCCTTCAATGTAATAAATAAATAAATATTATTTTACTTTGTGATTTAAATACAATAAAAGTGTGCTAACAGTGATCTCTTTCTGATATACAGGAGTTGAACGAATCTTGAGTGTGTGTGTGTGTGTGTGAGAGAGAGAGGTTGCTGGCTCAAGCATTTTTGAACTGAAGCTCTCAGGGTAATGACCGTGAGTGTAGAGGCGTCATGTGTAAATGTCATGCGTAAATTAGGAGTGCAATGAAGTGTGTGTGATGAGACCACATACTTAAATGCACAGCTACGCTCACCTTGACAGTGTTTGAGTGTGTTTGTTGTGTACATTGAGACGTCTATCATGATATAAGTGCGCATGTAACAGATCACATTTATATGAAATAAAATGAGCATGGGCCATGTTAGAATAGCAATAAAAAAAATGCTTTGATGCAGCGGATTGGTTTTTGAAAATATATAATGAATAAAATGTATAGCAAAAATCCCCAAATATGATTTGTAAATAAAATTTTATTTTTTATTTTTATATAGCGGAAATAATACAGAGTGCTAGTACATTACAATTTAAAATGTCCGTCAACCGAACAATCTTTGTAAAGGGTGCTTAAAGCAAATACTATTAATTTTAATGGTCATCATCTAGTGATCTCATATTTTGTTTTTTCGCGACACAAAGGAATGAAATACACTCTACTCTGTGAACGCAGACACTTCTAGCTACGCATATTAATTTTACCACGTCAAAAGCTGTTTCCAACACCCGCATATTTTTATGCGCATTTTAAAGTATTGCAGTGATGAAAAACTTTTTTTTTTAAATCCCTTAATTCGCAAAAAAGTTTACATTAGTCTGAGGTGGTTTTTGACTTGCGTTTCCATCTCCCATTAAACGCAACTCTTTTTCGCATTTGCCGAATAAATTCTGACGTAGTGAACATTAAAACCATGTGACTAATCGACTGTTTTCGCTGATGGTGTTTTATTTACTGTTGATTACTAGGTTACCAATACCACTGTCATCCGTTCAAACAACTTGATGAAAATGCACCGGATTCGCATTTGTTTTTTTGTGTTTTTTGGCGCCATTCCCACCTCCTTCTTCCCATAACAATGAATTGTGTTACACTATGTTTGAAAATGTGTCAGAGCGCAATTTATTGCGCAACGTACATGCGATATCGGTACTGACACCGGGGGCACTATAATGGACATTTGTGTAGATAAAGTTTTTGGAAATGTTTCTAACTAGCTACCCAAATCATAACAAATCTATCTGGCTTGAATTTTTAAGTTACTGTATAGCTGCCTTTCCACTATCTACGACATTCGCATGCGATAGTCGCATTTCGCCCCCCCCCCCCAAGTGGCAGTCGCACCGAACTTGAAATGTATTTTTATATCCACACAAAACAAACCCAAATATGCCTGAACGAAAAAATTGGTTAACCTAGGGATTAACAATGTAATTCATTAAATAAAATAATTATTTATTAAATAATTATCCATAAACGACACTTTACAGAAATAGCACTTAAATAATAAAATTTAAGAATACTGGTAATTCACGCCTCAAGAAAACACCACATCCGGTCGGGCGAACGCACAGAGCAGTACAAATATTTTAACGCATCTAAAGCTCTAATTGAATCTGAAATTTCTGCATACGCATATGGTCAGAACCAATAGTACTCTACATAGAAAATGAATGACTTACAGTCGTCAGCTTGTCATTTGTCGGAGATATCACCCCCTTCAGTTCTGCCAATGAGGCGCAAGAAGTCCCAAGCACACACCTCAACATACTTGGATGAAGTATGTCAGCTGACACAAACTCCAGCAGAAGATTTCTGCACAGGCTAGTGTGCTACAGGTTTAAGGGCTTGCTGTCACACACACACACACACTCATGCAGTCTCTAAGTGGCTGCCAGTCAGACGGCAGCTGTGAGGGCCGCCTAGTTGTCAAGGTGTCTGCTGCCACTGTGGCAACCACTACATCACATAAAAAAAACAGCCGTGCATGTGTGTGCGCAGCGGCGCAGGGGAACAAGGCAAGGTGAAGCGCCTGTGGCTCGCTCGTCTTTCCTCGTCTAACCTCGCTCTCTTCGGGTTTTTAATATTAGACATTAGAGTCTGAATAGATAATGGGAGTTGACAGCCCACCTCCACTGTCTGTTTGGCTGAACTCCCATCCCCAGCCCTTTAACCTTCTCCCTTCTTGCCTCCATCCTCGTCCAGGAGCTCTGATGTCCTTGAGATTATCCCTCCATCTTTCTCCCCGCTCTCATTTGTCCAAAGCTGCTCCGCCGTTGTCACATCCGTGACGGATGACCTTGTGAACGTCTTCCACCGCCTGCCTGCAGCGTGGTCTCAGTGCTTCATCTATTCTCAGTGAAGGAGAGCAGGCCGTGAGCAGAGCAGGTGCGATTCGGGTCCGTCGTTCTGATGTCTCGGCCAGATGACACGTCAGGTGATGGCATCCTCCTCTTAATGTCAAGACCTCTACAAGGAGGGAAGATTGTCGGAGTGACTGAAGATTTTTGGGCATTTCTGGATTATATACCCTTACTAGGGGTGTAACAATTCACTCATTTTCTCGATGCATCGATTTCAAATCCTGACGATGCATATGCATCGATTTTGAAGCGTAATTTTGAATCATTTATTTCAGTCAATAATCGATTTAAAATGCTAAGGATCGAATGAATTGCGATTCGATAGCAATTCAGTGCTTTAAAATATATAAACATTAAATGACTACATACACAAATTAAAACATTCGCGCCCTCACAGCACTCCTTCCCAGAAAGGCGCTGCACTCTTTAAGTCTTTCACTGGATAGCGCTCGTGCTAGGCCCCTATAGCTCTCTTCTACTATGCTGAAGTCATTGCGCTGGCTTTACAAAATAAAAACGCTTTCATTGCCTGGTGACGCCACCTTTATTAAGGTTCTCTTAGCGATCCTGGGTGTTGTTGACGTTCGGAATATTTTCAAACAAATCGGAGGCTAGCTAGACCCTCCCTCCGCCGCATCTCATCTCCTCCCCCTCCCTTCCGTGCTTCCTGAAATAATTGTGAAGGAGCATAGTTCTAGCTAATTATATCCTTGTGTGGGTTTGGCGAACATAACCGTCAATTTAGAAGAAAAAAAAACAATTTAACGTTACACACCTGTCAAGCAAAAACAGAGCAACCTGAATGTCGGACTGGAAGCCCTTCTGCCGCCGGAGTTCTCGCCATCGTTAAAAAGCTTTGCTACCGATGTAAATTCGGAACTTCGCACGTTCTTTATCCGACTCCATCTTTTTAATTTGTTCTTCAGAACGACGTCTCTTTGGTCGTGTGTCGGTCATTTTTCAAACTTCTCTCTGATGCGTCGCTCTCCTTCACACACACACACCCCCTTCATGTGCACACGCACTAACCCCCCAGACCCACCCTCAAATACTTCTTGCCAGTGATTGGCTGGAACACTGTTTGTTAGGTTTCGTGGTCCGGGTAAGACATGATTGTTTTTGTTGCCGTTTGTGGAGCCTGTGATGTCTACAGAGACCGCGTTTTTTTACAGTGTGTTTAGGGGACAGGCAGCTAGCCGATAGTGAGGAGACGTTTGATGTATGTGACAAAAAATGTTTTGGCCCCACATCGCTCAGAGAACCTTTAAGATAAAATATTGGAGTTTTACGTAAATGGGTCAGACCATTGACATTATCCATCCTAAGCAAAACCCCACTTATTTAAGGAAAAGCATTTATTTCATGGAAAGAGCAAACACATAATAGGTGTCTATAATGCATACGCACAGTTCCGATGAATCATAAATGAGAAATTACATTTAACTTAATGTCGTTAAACTGAATGTTCTACGGTAACTGCTGAAATAACTACAACGTTATTAACAGTGAAATATGAGCGCAAGGTTTATCTATCAATCAGATGCGCATTGAAGTTGCGTTTTTTTAGACGCGGTGCCTTTTCTTTCAGAATCATAAGGAAAATGTTCCGTATAAAGAAAACAAAGAGAGCTTTTGTTACTATTCCATGTGGAAAAGATAATTTAGGTTTAGTTGGGAAAGTGCATGATATTTTTAAATGCCAATTTATAGGCTAATCAAATTAAATCGAATCGAGCCAATTTAATCAAATTAAATTAATCTAATCGCTTAGAATTTTAATGTGAATCGGCTTGAATCGAATCGTTCTGAATTTGCAAAAATCGTTCTTGAGTCGAATATGAATCGTCAATTGATAGAAGTTAATCGAATCGCGTAGAATTTTAATGTGAATCGTCTTGAATCGAATCGTTCTGAATTTGCAAAATTGTTCTTGAATCGAATATGAATTGTCAATCGAATAAAGTAAATCGAATTAATCGAATCACGTAGAATTTTATTTTGAATCGTTTTGAATCGAATCGTTCTGAATTTGCAAAAATCATTCTGAATCGAATATGAATCGTCAATCAAATAAAGTTAATCGAATCAGGTAGAATTTTAATGTGAATCGCCTTGAATCGAATCGTTCTAAATTTGCAAAAATCGTTCTTGAATCGAATATGAATCATCAATCGAATAAAGTTAATCCAATCTAATTAATCGAATCACATAGAATTATA